AAGTCTGTTCTTTGTGTTCGTCAAGCGGTGTATCTTGTCCAGTCCCAGCCAAAACTCGCCATTCAGGTTACCGAAGCCATTCTTGTAGTCGACCCAGCCGCGGTAGAGATCAATGGAGCCATCCAATCTCTTCTGGAACACTGTCCACCCCTCACCGGCTGTTGTTTGGTTTGCCTATTGAGAAAAAGATGACGAAATTTGCTATTGTCCAACTGAACTGTTTTAGCTTCAATATGGAAGACTAAACGGAGAAATAAAGCTGTCAAGAAAAATACCAAATTCACGGATTTCATTAATCGTAGCTAAAGAACGAATCAACTACTAACGAGTTCCGTTGTAGCTCATCTTAAACGTCTTGGAAATTACGCAGAATTCAAATCCCAACTTCCGAAAAAAACTAAATTAAAAAGATGAAAAAATTAATAGGTTTCATAGTCAGTCGTAGCACGTATTAGGGTTTTGTAGTTACCCATCCCAAATGTTTCGAAAAATAAGCAGAATCCAAGTCTCAACACGGAAACAGATCTTACCCTTCACAGTCGTCTTTTTCTCTTTGAGGATGTCATCTTGCAGTTGAGTGAGTTGTTTCTTCATTTCTTGAAGAATAGTTTTAATCTCATGGTTTGGTGCTGTGTACAAATACACGTTGTTATATTGCTTTGTGGCTATAGAACCGACCGGGTCGCCATTAGCGTTATTTCTCGGCTTAGCTAAAGTGTAACTCGCCACAAACAACACCAAGAACGGCAAACTGGAACGAAACCCCGAGAAAACAGATGAAGTCATTGTTCGAATTTGATAAAATTCTAGCTTAAAGGCACTTAAAACGTAATTCGTGAAACCCGTGATGGTCATGGATTTGGTGCGACGCTCAAAATGTGTAAAACACGAGACAGTTGAGTCCATGATGGCTCCGTGGTGGACCCTTGACGTATACGTGATAACCTGCGATCATACCCTCCCTCCCTACATCTCATCCTTCTCCCTTTCCAAAAGAACGAGCCTGATCGCAGGTTATACACGTGACGGAAAGCATAAGATTTGTAAAGTCAAATCCGTGACGGTAAATCCATGACAACTTCCTGCTTCAAACGAAATAGACCGGCAAGGTTTAAGGTTCAAGGATTAGTGTCAAATACGTGACGGTTTAGCCAAACACGTGATAACTTATAATAATGTACTACGAGGGAGAAAACTCTACATAAGATCCAGGGTTGGTCACGTGACTTCCGTTTAGCCCTAATTGCACCCTCTGCAGTATATCCTACTGCATCTTCATCTTCTAGGATGTCTCTCTTTAACAGATCAGTCTTGGCATTCAAGATGATACCAGACACCACATCCACTGCACTGGAAATAAAAACCTTCTTTAGGCCTCTTACATGAGCAGGAAACCCTAAGGATAGAATGTTGTTTAACCTCATTAATATGCTAACAAAACCGGTCACTATAAGGGAGCATGGTCAAAGATTTCTCTTCAGGACAGATAAAGAGATGCTTTCTCAAAGCTCCTTTATCATAGTATTACTTTTATTTTTAAATTGTGGTCGTTTCTTTTACTACTATTCAAAATCAAAACGTAATTTTATCGCTACTCTGCAGCGTCGTTACTTTCTAAGCGAGCTCTCGTGAACTTGTTGTGTAGAGCATTTCAAGCTGTTGCTAGCAAAATGTCTTCCACGTGTGAAAATGAGCTCATTTTATAATTCTTCTATTACCTTTAGAAACACTAAACACCACAGCCAATCGGCGGAAACATGATTGTAAAGTCCATGCTAAAATGTCCATCATGTCTTATAAGGTCCTCCTTTCTCCTTAGTCCTGTTAATCATACAGTAATCTTAGTCAGAGACACATCTCACTTACAATTGGTGAACGCTCGTGACATGAACAGGCCGTGAAAACTTAAAGCGGTTTTTTAATGCATTTCTGTCATGCCTTTTACGTGCTTGTACGTTAAAGAGCATATTCTTTTACTTAGTTACCTCGCGAATTCGTGATGAAAAGAGTCAAACTTTTCAGCGAATTTCAAAGCAGAAAATGAGTTTGCTGTGAAACTGCTCGTGTTTCATGGGACGCGCGTTAGTGATGAAGGGAGGCACGAGAAACGCGACAGGAGTTCTAATGTATGTTGAAAATCGGTGGGAGCTTTTCTTACACACAAATCATTCCTTCTTATATCATTTATTTTCAGTTAGAAAGCAGGATAATAAGACATGAGATAAAAAAAGCGAAGCAAAGGAAAGAAGAGAAAAGAAAGAAAAGAGTACAAAGTGGAAAATGAAGAATGAGAAAATAGCAACCTAATGAATAATGACACAAAACTTATTTTTCAGTTTTTTTCAATCAGCCAGTCACTTAAACATTTTTTTTTCAATCACTGATTTGCGTTGAATGATCAGCAAGTAAACGACAAAACTACTAAATGTTCTTAAATTGGTCTGATTTTCATCTCAGCTCTCTTGGTGGAGTAGTAATAAACTTTCCAGTGACGTCAGTTGACACCATCAGCCACTGACGAGTGTTTTCCGTGATGATACTGACCGGTAAGGTTGGAGTAATAAGAGAGAGAGTACCACCACGCTCCTTTAAACAGCACGGCACAGTTATCATAAAGCGGTTTTTTAATGCTCTTCTGTCATGCCTTTTACGTGCTTGTACGAGAAAGAGCATATTCCTCTACTTAGTTACCTCGCAAGTTCGTGATGAAAAGAGTCAAACGTTTCAGAGAATTTCAAAGCAGAAATAAGTTTGCTGTGAAACTGCTCGTGTTTCATGGACGCGCGTTAGGGATGGAGGGAGGCATGAGAAACGCGACAGGAGTTCTAATGTGTGTACATGTTGAAAATCGGTGGGAGCTTTTCTTACACACAAATCATTCCTTCTTATAACCGTTATTTTCAGGTAAAAGAATAAGATAGAACACGAGACTAGGAAAGCGAAAGAAAGGAAAGAAGAAAAAGGAAAGAAAAGAGCAAAGTGGAAAATGAAGTCAGAGAAAATAGCAACATAATAATGATGACAAAACTTAGTTTTCAGCTTTTTAATCAGTCAGTCACTTCAACATTTCTTTTTCAATCACTGATTTGCGTTGATCAGCAAGTAAACGAGGAAACTATTAAAAGTTCTTAAACTGGTCTGATTTTCATCTCAGCTCTCTTGGCGCGGTACTAGTAACCTTTCCAGTGACGCCAGTTGACACCATCAGCCATTGACGAGTGTTTTCCGTGATGATACTGACCGTTAAGGTTGGAGTAATGAGAGAGAGAGAGTACCGCCAGGCTCCTTTATACAGCACGGTACAGTTACCATTGCTCCAGCTGTCATTATCCTGATCTTTGGTGGTAAAGGGATAACCACGATGATAAGAAAGAGAATCACCAGCAGTTCCTGAAAACAAATCATGAACATTTAACTGCGTAAGATATTTAAGTGTGTTTAGTGCAGCTTTCATCTAGTTTCAACTTTCTATGATAGTTTTGATTAAACTAAAAGTTAATTTAAACAAAGATATGCGAAAATTTACCTGCGTAAGTTCCAAGGCTCAGTTTGTACTTAGTCTTTTCGCTTGTAACTGTAAACATATCGTAATCGGCGTAAGCAGTTTTGCCTGTCGTGTCTTCCAGATTTACTCGAAGTCTGTTCTTTGTGTTCGTCAAGCGGTTTATCTTGTCCAGTCCCAGCCAAAACTTGCCATTCAGGTTACCGAAGCCATTCTTGTAGTCGGCCCAGCCGCGGTAGAAATCAACGGAGCCATCCAATCTCTTCTGGAACACTGTCCACCCCCCACCTGCTGTTGTTTGGTCACAGAACACATCAAAGGCACCTGAACCATCAGGGTCGATTGTATAAACACCGCTGATTGTTTGACCAGATTTGTACAGCTCAGCACAGTTCTTGGGTATTGAGAAAAAGATGGTGAAGTTTACTATCGTTCAACTGTTTCAATTTAATAGACCTTGCCGGCAAAGAAGAGAAATAAAGCTGTCGAGCTTACAACAAAAAATAATGGTTTTCATATAGTCGTAGATTGACGACGAATAAACTACTTATGGGTTCCGTAGTCACTGTATTGTCACAATTAATATATAGATTTAGGCCAGCCTAAAAGCGTGGCTCCTGGGCCGGGTTGTTCAAAGCCTGATTAAGCTAACCCAGAAAAAGGTAGAATTTTGATTAAAGTTTTGTAACTTTGTGGTGAGGTTTCTGTATATTGTTTGGCCTTCTGTTTTGAGCTTTAAAAATTACTATATACACAAAACAAAACAGCAAAAAACATTTGTATAGAAGAAAAAGTTATAATTCGATTAACTTTTAATCCTGGGTTAGCGTAAACCGGCTTCTG